TTGTGTTTTCAATGTGAAACACGGGCGAAGTTTCAGAATGCAAGCATTACATGTATCGCACATGCAGTGAGCGATATAAAACGTGTCAGTACAGCAGCCAATGTCACTCTCCAACAAGTTGGATGACTACGAAGATACTCCAGTTTCGCTTTCGCCAATTATGAATGCCTCGATTTTGGCCTTCCATAACTTCTTGTTAAAGTTATGATGAGTTTTCGCCAGTTCCCGCATCTCCCAGTGAGTTCACTGCCAATCTTCAACGTTTTATTTAGAAAACGTATTCATTGGCTGAACCATTCAGAAATCTTGTAAAGGGGGGGATTTAGAATGGATTTGCAAAGTCTATTCGATTCTACTGTCAACTCCAATTACGAACCGACTTGACAATATTTGTTGCGGTTGTCAAATCGTATTAGTAGTTTCGATTCACAGTTTGGTGTCATTTCAAAAATAATATAACGTTTTACCCGATCAAGTTGGACTTTTTTTCCAATTAATATGGTGATAAAAATTGTAAAACAGTTCCATACAAATACGAGTTGTGGATAAAATGCACAAAGTTCAGATCAATGTGGTTTTTGTTCCAATCAAAATGGAAACATATACTGCACGTGAGTATACTATTGTAAAAAGCAGTGAACATTTCGGGCAATTCCACCCATCTCACCTATCCTCCAATGAACATGCGATGTGTATATATGAAATAAACTATGGTACCAGATTTGCACCATATTGATTGGAACAAAAACTACATTGATCCAACCCTTGTCAAAATTTATATTTTATATCCAAACCACATTAATTGGAAAAATGTCCAACTTGATATGGTAATGGGTAGTATTCCATTTTCTCACAAAATGGGATTAACTATAATGCCAATTTCAAAATGGAGGTAAAAGGTCCATTTGTAATATGGCGTTTTGGACCTCAAGGAGTAAATCCCACGTGGAATTGTTGGATCATTCAAACGCACGATAATGGCGTACAACCGAACGACGATGGCGGCCTGCGACACATGACGGAGACTGAACGGCCTACCGATCATGAGACCATGAGCCGACCTCTAAAAGGCTAAAACACTGTAGGTAATTCTCCAGCGCAATGCACGAGGAAATTCGACTTTGAATTGTTGGATTTGGATAAACTCAACAAGCAAGACATGTTCTATATTTATCAGATTTATTGATATTCTGCCCCAAAATTATGATTTGGGCCAGAAAAATGTACATCAGGTATTGTGGATTCGATACGAATTTCCAGACCCCGTCGAATCGAATCTCGCCGCCAAATCGAATCATCAAGCGACGGTATTGGCTAATCCATTTTTGAGTGGATTTGATTGGCTCTTTCAGAAATGACAAGTATATTAAACCAATCAATCTGGCGTGATTCAATATTGATCAGACAAACCAGGCGAATTTTGGAAGTTTATAGCGATTTCACAATAAACGGATATATAGAAATATTCAGGCCCAAAACGCCATTTTGGGGCCTAATTCAATGAGCATGTCTTGCTTGTTGAGTTTTTACAGTTATCCAAATGTGCATTGTTGGCGCATTTCTTTGGACGAAATGATTAGTTTACAATAGACTAGAAAAAATAGTTCGTATTAATACTGTATATAGTACAGGGAACGACGTTGAATAAGAACGTGAGAATTTTGGCGCAATAATTTTTGAATTAACCAATCACATCATCTAAATAATATATCAAGATTCTGATTGGCTCATTCGTTGCCGGCATAATAATAATAAAAATCGAGTGCCACTGACCCCCAAAATCGAATTTGAAAGCTAAATGACTGAGTTGCATCACCAGACACCATTGCAGCGCATCAAACGCCGCATCGACCGAACATTGTCCAGAAGCTCACTGTCATAGCGACTCCTGAGCGAACGAGCTACTCGTCCATCTGCTCTATGCTGACTAGAGCGGCATGAATGCTTGCAAGTTCGACCGTGTAATTATAAACGTGCAACAATCGATTGTTGTATGGAAAGTCCTTGCACAATTGCGTTCGCTCATTGGTAGCCATAACTACGTTTACAGCATTCTAATTGGTTAATCATATTCAAACAGCAGCTCCCAACTCCCATTGGTTGCTGAGATATCCCAAAAATGTGTGCGTTCCCTGAATTATGGCCATGAGTGTATGGCTGGACAATCGAACCAATCCGTTGTTTTATTATTATTCATTACAGTATATAGTTTATTGATTTTAAAAATTACCTGCCATATCATATTGGCCGACAGAGGGGGCAGAATGTCTTCTGCATGTGTGTTCCTCCATGTGTAACGACGTCAAAGCATTGGTCAACTCGATACCTCCCCAAATTGGAGTGCACGGCTATTCAATTGTATTTGTGAATGTAATGGTGAGGCATTTGCATGTTGACTTGTTTACGAGGCAAAAATTTCTTGAAAATATACTATTTCAAGGAATGCCAATTGCGTCGATGGGTTAGCCAAAAAAGAATAAGCAAACCCTTCGACACCACTGACTATAGGTGTACTACAGTGGTGGTCAGTCAAACCCGGTTAGTGGACCTCTCTGAGTATTGAAGATTTTGTATGGGTAGTGGGATGGGTACCAAAATATTTTAATAAATTTTGTTTGTTCAAGTTCTTGGGAAACAATCTCATCGATTTACAATTGGCTTCAATATTTCAAGTATCGTCATAACTGTATCGTTACAGTGTACACGTCAAAAATTATTTTTAAAAGGTTTAGGTTTCAAAGCTTATATTGATGAAAATATATTAATATTAAAATGCAACAATTTGATCCATTTTCTTTTTTTAATAAATTTTGTTTTCAAGATAATTTAAATATAGCTATTAATTTTTTCCACTTAAATTTAAAACAATATTTTTAATTTTTTACACATATTATTATTATTATTATTAAATAGAATAATTTTTTTAAATAAAATTAAAACAAAATTAATTATAAATATCTCTTAATTAACATATACTACGTATAACGATTCACAACCACCGTTGAGGTTGTAATCTTTTCCCATACACCGATGGTCCACTTCACCATTGCAAGTGGCTTTTCTTGGGCACTTATATCTTCATCACTTCAACCCACGTCTTCGAGTAACCACGCTGTCTTGAACATCGCCTTCAGTGGTTCCATGCCCCAACGTCCAAGGGTTGGCAGCGGCTTGTCGATCTCGGGGGAGTGTCTCCACCACCGTGAACATCGTATCCGCAAATGCGAGGCTGGTGACACGTGATAATCCAGGCTATCCACCAATAGGACCGACGCTTCTTCAACATGCTGCGCCAACAGCTCGTCCAGGTAATACTTCTACACACGCTCGTCTCTCCAGGTGTTATCTTGAACAGCGTAAACATAGCCACTTGGATACGTTGGCAGCTCCCGAGTCTCAATCATGCTGCAGGGTTTTCCTTTCACACTGAACAGTAATGGCAACTCCACACCTACATAGCCAGTTACCCCTTACAGATATTAATGACACTATTGCCATCAGCTCAAATCGTCAGCACAGCTGTAAGATCTGCTGCCAAATCACGGCAGGAGTATAATCGTGACGACAACGGTATGAAAACGTCGCCTAAATCAAATACATCATTATTCAATTGTTCCCAAACACAAACGCAAGCCTTCAGCACACGTACGCACTCCCAACGCTACTAATGGGCAAGTCCAAGCAACACCCTCCGGAGATTCGGGCGTTGGTCGTTTCCAAGCACCAGGATGGCCGAACAAGTGCAGAAATCGCACAAGCGCTAGCCATGCCTAGGTCGTCCGTTAAGACGATAATCAAGGCATTCAAATCAACTGGTCTTTTGCATGCTGCACCACGATCTGGACGCCCACGAGTGACCACTGAGCACGAGGACCGCATCATTGTTCGTGCCGTCAAACAAAACCGTCGCCTCAGCGCGGAAACGCTACAAGAAACATTTGCGATATTCCATGACAAAGACATATCGCGGACGACCATTCGCAATCGCATCACCTCTGCTGGTCTTAATGGTCGAGCTGCACGCAAGAAGACCTTCTTGTCAAAACTGAACCGATATAAGCGCTTGGTGTTTGCCAAGAAGTACTGAACGTGGACGCCAGAGGATTGGGAGAAGGTTATGTTTACTGACGAGAGTCCCTTTAACCTAACTGGGTCCTGCGGGCGCGTTTACGTGTGGAGAAAGCCTGGCGAGGAGTTCTTGGACGCCTGTGTTGTCCCAACGTTCAAGAGCGGACGGCAGACTGTCATGGTGTGGGGTGCTATTGGCTTCAATGGAACTGGGACATTAGTTGTTATCGACGGAAAAATGAAGTCTGCGGACTACCTGGAGCTTCTGGAGGACCAATTACCGGACAACTTTGCCAAATTGGGCTTGCCCCTCGACTTTGTCTTCCAACAAGACAACGCACCGATCCATAAGGCCAACATTGTCATGGGTTTTTTGGACGAAAACGCTATTCAAACGCTTGACCACCCCCCCCCAAAGCCCCGACCTCAACCCCATTGAGCATGTTTGGGAAGAAATTGCTCGGAAACTTCGAGTATCGCCCGCATCTTCGCTTGGAAACCTGCAATTGAAAATTGAGAAATTCTGGGATGAAATTCCGTTGGATTACATCCGGAATTTGATTTGTAATTCCGTTGGATTACATCCGGAATTTGATCCATTCTATGCCAAAGAGATTGCAAATGGTTATTGCAGCCAAAGGTGGCCATACGAAGTATTAATGCTTAATGACTTCAAGTTTTTTTGGCCTTTTCCAAAATTGGACTTAAACTTTTGGACAGTGGTACTTTGTTCGTTCCACGCTAAGTTTTTATTGGTCAAAACATTCGTCGAATTCATTCTCGCATTTGATTGGTTAACGCAGGAGCTTTCCAACGAACACTTTCGATTCGTCGCTCCCCAAATATCTTGTGAGATATTCCAAAAATAGAAAATATATGCAGCTGGACTTAAACTTTCCGTACCCACTGTACATCTCTTCCTTGCGCCGCTTTCACATGTACGCTAATATGTTGTCGGTGATCGGGGTAAGTTCTTTGTGACCTTGCCCACCGAGGGTTGCATGTCGTCCATGCCGTGTGCTTGACAAGGTCTTGGCTTCCTTCAAGCGCCAGTCCTACCATGTGGAGTACGCTATGTTCTTCATACGACAGAACTGGCGCTCGTTGGAGACGTTGAACATGCTGAACTCTGCAAATGGCACCTTGCGTTGCGCATTCGTGTAGCGCTCTTGTCGGCGCTTGGGTTGCTCCATCGTCGAAATGAAAGTGAAATCCAAGTCTGTGGGGTGGCAATTGAAATCTGTTCAAATGTCCGGTCTAGCTTTCTATTGGTTGCTCAAGTACTGTTGACGTCAGACATATATTTGTCCAATCAATGCGCACAATTCTACCTCGGCATATGTGAAATCTAATTTATTTTTGGATTGTTGCACTAACCGGGTTTGACCGACAGCCAGTACCATTTCAAGGCATGCCTCATCATCATGATTTGGCCAAAGCAAAATACAATAACTGTAAGTTCCTTCAGGTAGGGTGCCTTCCATTAGGGGGAGTCAATTTAGGAAAAAAATCAATTCTTATTTTCGATTCTACTTTTTACTTTTGCTTTTCGACACAAAAACTAAAAGCAACTTGAAGTTGGTGGAGTCTTAGGTTAACTGATATACTAGAACGTAATAAAGATATGCTTACTTTATACAACGTGCAAATTTGTGTTTGGTCGGTTTGGTGGTCAATGTGTAATAAATGGCTTCGGTGTTTCCGGTAGTCGGGTAAGAAAATTCTCACCATAGCCTGGAATAAATTCCGTTGGACCTGATAAAACCTAAATGACTGCAGACTCCCAACATGATGTATGCCCGCGTGCAAAGTAGTCTGCAAACTCCCAGGATATTTAACTACCCCCCCCCAATTAATTGAGTAACAGCGAACAGTTGATCATAAGAAAACCGCTGCGATAAATTATGGTTGATTCAAAATGGTCAATATTACACAGCACAATGTCCAAGTGGATAAACCTCCTCGTTCACCAATTGATGATTGGTTCTATTTTTCAAGGGATTTACGGACACCGATTGACTGATATTAGACATTAATATCCAATCAGAAGCGCCAGCATCCTTGTCAAAGAGTGGGACTTTTTCAAAAACCTTTTTATTACCATAGACCTCCTGGCGAATGAAGTGATATCAACACAGAGATTGAGTATTAACTTGTGCAATATAACACCCCTTTAATTTTATAAACTATCCACATATTGACACGTCATTTCAATGAGTACATCATCAATTTTAGGCGATTCACGACTTGAACAGTGATTATCCATCGACTTGCCCTGGTGTCTTTTCTAGAATGCTCAGTAGATTGGCGTTTTAGTCGATCACTTCTGAAATTGCTTCATATCATCCAAGGTCATCCGCTACTCCTCGTTCATGCCGAGCCAAAGCACCACGACACCAGCAAAGGGACTCCCCTCTGCCCGCACGATTACCAAAGCAGTCGATGCACTTGCAGCAATTGACGAACGCCGACTATCCAAGCGTCAGCGATTCTCGATTGAGTCCAATGATGCAACTGCTGAGGACCTTGACTCTGCCTCGCCCGTCATGGACCGGTACATTGCCGCCAAAGGGGTTGAAGTTGTTCACTCCCTCACCAACTTTTCGGCATCCGAGCTCAACACGCTGTGGACCAATATCAAGCCATTCGTGACGAAGAACTGGAACGTCGGCAGTGGACGCAAATGTCCTGTCACTGGGAAGGACATGCTCTTCATGACTCTCGTGACGCTTAAGCACGGGGGCACCTGGGACATTCTTTCCGCCAGTTTTGACGAGGGTGCCGCAACGTTCAGCAATCGCATCAACCAGTTCATTCGCGTTCTCCATCCATACCTGGTCCGCAAGTACATCGACGAGCAAGGCATAAAGTGGACAATGCAGCAGCTTGCCGTCGCTGGCCTGCAGTTCGCAACCCACAAGTCGGCACTATATGCCGTTGACGTCACCTTCCAGCAGACAACTGCACCCGCGGTGTCGTTCGGCGAGAAGAAGAGAGAAGAAGACGTACTTTTCCAATAAGCACGGCCTCTATGGACACAAGGTTTGGGTGTCCGTTGCACCGAATGGCTTGGCAATCAACGTCACGGATTGTGCTGTGGGCAGCACGTCGGACTTTGAAATGTTCAAGGCCAACTTGGGCTTTCACTCGACTCATCTTGAGAAGCAACCGAGCGACACCAACGTCAGCGACAACGACGCGCTGCGCGACAATTTCCCGAGTCAATGGTCCGTCCTTGCGGACAGGGGGTATCAAGGCATCCAAGAGTACGTCCGTGGCTTCACGCCGTTGAAGCGCCCACCGCACGGACAGCTGACAATGGAGCAGGAGCGGGCCAATGTTAAGTTGTCGTCAGATCGTGTGATTGTGGAGAACTTCTTCGGAAGGCTCAAGACGCTGTGGGGTCTGGCGTCTGATAAGTACACGTGGAAGAAGGATGAGTACAACATGTACTTTCAGACGTGTGTGGCCCTCACCAATGTCCACATTCGGTTCAATCCTTTGCGGAACATGGACGGTGAGGGCTACAATCAGTACAAGAACCGCTTGCTCTCGATTGGAAGCAAGATCAAGACCAAGAACTCGTCCTCCAAGGCGAAGTATCGCGAGAATCGTAAGGCCCGGATTCAGGCTGTGTTGGGTCGTGCAAAAACTGGCTACACCAGCGAGGACTACAACATTGGCTATGAAGGGGGAGACGATATCTTCGATTAACTTCAGTTCAATATGCATTTTTTCATAATGTATTATTTGTGCAAAAATTTTGATTTTGGGAAAAACTTTGAACCCGGGGCCCATCCACCACCGCCTAATCGTCAAACCGACATGCTACGCGCCAAAGGCTTGGCTTATAACTTGCTCAATCGATAAAGTCATTTTGTACCTCCACAACTTAATTTCTTGCTCAGGTTTTGGCAAGTAGCAATCCAATGGAGTTTGTTCTTTAGAAGGATAGTGACTACCTTCACGATTTAGTGATGTTCATATCCCTGGAAGAATTCGTTGAAATATACAAGAATTCATCAGGAGTTTCACTGAACTAGCACTACTTTACGAAACAATTTGTTTGTAGCAAGTATGTTTGCCCCAACCGCTAACCAGTCAGCCCTGCTCCGTTCATACCTCTGAGGCTACGCAGAGTGTAGAACAACTGATAAACTAGTTCTTTATAGTACCCGCTAACTACAATACCATTCTCACACGTGCAAAATGCCGTCGACGTCGAATGCGTCCAACCACTTTACTTTCAGTAATACCTATGGAGATGTCAAATGTTAGTACAACGTAGTACTCCGGGAGTATTGTTTTTGAAATGTTACAGATAACGACGGAAATAATTGCCAAGTGGTACTACGCAGAATTTCGGAATATTAATATCCAAACGCAATCACTTGAAATTTGGATAATTTCACACATTCTGGCCAATCGGTGACTATTTTCACCACGACGGCACGCATGATGTAATGTCAACTTCTTATCAACAAATAATAGAAAATAGCAATTATTCTGTATCACGACCACCCGTATATTCATAATATCCAACAGAAACAAGTAATTAATTGTGAGTATACTCGTCCCCAGTTACCAAATGCTCAACGATTGACTGTTTAATGTAGATTATAGAACGCTATAATAGAGACTTTTAGCAAGTGAGAAATCTTGACTTTCCAGACTTAAACTTCGATTCGAACTTCGAAGCTTGCAGACTTTGCTCGGAAACAGTCACACTTTTGGCCTCGAAGTCCGCAGACATCTGACTACTTTCCGAGCCAATCAAATTTCTCTATTGAGGTTTGCTTGCCAAAATCTCCAACATGCTCCGACTCGCTTCAGCCGACGCATGGGTAGTTAAGACTATGTAGTGTTAGGATAGTGCACAAGCGCGGGTATGTACAGTGATGCAGGACGCTAGTCTGAATTTGTAGCTCAGGGCTGCACATCACAGTATACTCCCTGCCGCCGCGCACCAAGCCGCCGATGATTGCCGCCTGATCACCCTATGCCAAGGCATGGACGACGGGCGGTGAGCTCGGTCCTGACTACGTAAACCTGTGTTTGGTCGCCATGATACTTGACGGCCAAACAGAGGAGAATCTTGACTCAAGATCCTCAAACTTCGAAAGCAGCGGGCATTAGGACCGCTGAGCTAGTCCGAGTCCCAACAGTCCAAAGCGTTTGATGACTATCGTTTTATAACGTCGCACATGATACACAAATCCACATTCTACACGCCCTTATGTGTCTCTCGTTGAATTGCGCGCAAT